TAACAACACTCGTATTTTTCATCACCACTTCAGGACACCCTTCACCACTTCAGGATGCAGCCTGCCTAAATAGGTGGTTTTCAGGGTCTTCGGACCTTTCACCACTTCAGCACCATTCAGGTCTGAAAATCCTGAATGGTCCTGAAGTGGTGAAAGTTCCGAATACCCTGAAAACCACATGTTTAGGTATACTGCATCCTCAACTGGTGAAGGGTGGTTTTCATGGTGTTCGGACCTTTCACCACTTCGGGACCATTCAAGATTTTCAGACTGCCCAAAACTCTCACTTGACCACTTTAGGACACCCTTCACCTCTTCAGGATGCAGCCTGTCTAAACAGATGGTTTTCAGGGTCTTCAGACCTTTCACCACTTCATGACCATTCAGGATTTTCAAACTGCCCAAAATTCTCACTTCAGAATTTTCATTCCTGAATTTTCATCTACCCGATAACCGCTTGTGCAAGGGATGGGCAGAACTCTGGTTGGCGAAATAGCAGAGGGAAGAGTATGTATGACAGATGTGCGATAAGAATAAAAATATTGATATATGTCGCATATGTTGCTAACCTCTACCAGAAATTTGACAAAAACAATTTCGTGTGAATGATCTTCGTCGGGTGAATAGGTTAGGACAAAGGAGGGTAGGCAGACGACCTCCGCTAGTGGTAAATGAGAATCATGGAGCTGGGCAGCGGACTTATGCACGAAAGGGGCCTAGGGTTTGCCATGCACGATTTTAATTGTGAAGGATTAGGGTAGATGGGAGGACAGTTTGTCACCCTCTCCATGGCGAGACCTTGACACATGCTGTGACCTGGTTGATAATTAGGCGGGCAGTCAATCCCCTCGTGAGAGGGCAATCAATGTTGTTTCGCCAGGTATATTGTCTCCGATTTTGTCAATGGGACGCGGCACCCGGTTTCCAGCAGGTGATGCCTCCCACCAATAAATTGGAGCCATCTATAAACTGGGGCTTGCTATTGGAGGATGCTCGTATCACCTCCAATAGCAGGTTGCCACATATGTTTGGGATTGAAAAAAAAAAAATGCTCTGAAGTACAGACTGCAGCTAGGGTATATACTCAGCGGACTGACTCTACTGGACTGGACTGGACTGGTATTGACAGTGGTATGAGACTGGACTAGACTGGACTGGTACTGACAATGGTACCAGACTGGACTGGACTGGACTGGTAGCGACCGAACTGGACTGGATTGGACTGAATATCCACATGGCCTTGTGAGATCAGGCCAACGGCCTGGTCGCGCAGTCCGAACAAATGAGAGGCGTGTTGCAATGCATGTGATTGTCGGGTGTAGTTGTTCTCAAGCAGTGCCATCATCGTTCACGTGAAACCACCAATCCCCCCGCCACAGAGAACCCCTAGTCTCGGTGAGTTAGGGGCGGGCTTTTCGGCAGGTACCCGCCCGTAACTCACCGATCTTGCAGAGTCCCAGGCAAGTAAACCAAGGCCCCACGTTGAAGACGGCGGACGACGCCCGATTCCATCAACGGCCGTGGAGACGTAAATCCGGTCCAGTGTTCGGGCCGCCGACAACCTCTACCGGACTTCCTAGCGTTGGCGGGAAATAAAGGCCTAAGGCGAAAAAAAAAATAAAAACAACAAAATTTTCGCAGCCTCGCAATTTCCCCCCCCCCCGTTATTACCGTTGTCCCTGTACTGTTGATATATACGAATGTGAAAACACGTTCTGTGGTGTATCATCAGGGTTTCGTTCGGCTAGTGACATTCCCTCCGTTCGGGATTGTGTACGCCAGTCCGCCATCGCCACGAACCTCAGCCCGCGAGCGCCCGCCTCCTGCACCGAACCCGACGGTGGCGTGCCCGTCGTTGCTTTGCGGCGGGCAGATAGCAGTGCTGCGGGATGAGTTACTGCCTTGGTGCGTGGTGCTGTGTGGTCGTTTAGGGTTCGTTTGTGGTGCTGCGTGTCACTGTCGGCATGTGTTTGCGTGGTCACAGAGCTGCCGTCACCTTGTTTTCCCATCCGCTGCACCTCCTGCGTGCACCTCGTATGGCATGCACGTGACATTGTCGCGATGCGGAACACAGTGCAGGCGGCATTGAACTCACCTGCACCAGTTGTGTGTGCGTGCGTGCGTGACTCCTGTTGTGTGTCCGTCGGTGCGTTGCCTCGTCTTTCGGTCGATTCTGTTGTGCGCATGCACTCGCGCGTTTGGAGTTGTGTCACCCGTTTGTGTTCCTCCACGTGGCCACAGGTTTCTGTAAGTAAGAGTGTGGTCGTGTGCGTGTGCGTGCGTGTTCGTGAGCGTGTGTTTTTGTGCTCTGCGGACGAAGTTAGGTGTTTTTTTTTTTTTTTTTTTTTCATATTTTTTCCTTTCATTGATTCTTTACTTCGTACACTCCACGTGTCACTTCCTTTACGCCGCTTCTTTACCCTTTACGCGGCTTCTTTGATTTTTTTTTTATCTTCTTCTTCTTCTTCTTCTTCTTCTTCTTCTTCTTCTTCTTCTCCTTCTTCTTCTCAGCCGCCGACCCTCTATTCTCAGACTAGTCGGAATGGGGAACTTACGCGTTTGCGACTGAGAAGTGTGCATGCGGAGAAGTATTGAAACACCTAGTCGACCTTTGTGCGAGAAGTAGCCTATGGCCGCTATTTTGACTTTTCACTTTTCAGTTTTCTTTTTTTTCTTCTTCTTTTTCTTTTACTTCTTCTTCTTCTTCTTCTTTGATTCATCTTCTCGGTTTCAGGCTCTGTGCTTCTTTTTATCATCGCCGGTTCTTGGTATTCTTCGCAGCTTTGTCCTGTTATTCACCGTTTTTTTTTTTGTTTTTTTTTTCCTTTTTTTCTTCTTCTTTTTCCTCTTCTTCTCCTTCTTCCTCTTCCTGTAGTTTTTTTTCGTCTTCATCGTATTCTTGTTCTTCGTCTCATCTCCACCGAGACGCTTATTGTTGTTCTTGTCGCCCAACATCTCATCCGTGTCGCCGACCTTGTACGTATAGGGTTCGGCTGTGGAGGTTTCCTTCGTTTCTGCTCTTCGTGATATATATATATATATATATATATATCATCACAAATAGAACTGCCCGGTAAACCGTAGGCAGAGAGAGAGAAGAGGACAACAAACGAGGGGCTGTATATATATATATATATATATCGTCACAAACATAACTGCCCGGTAAGACCGTAGGCAGAGAGAGAGAAGAGGATAACAAACGAGGGGCTGTGACAAATATATATATATATATATATATATATATATACAGGGTAATTGGCGTTCGGGACGGGCTGAACACCCGAACCCGAATGCCCGAATGTATGGGACCCGTTGGGAATGCGTTCGGCCGTTCGGGCCAAACGCGGACCAAAAAAAAATAAAAAAAAATAAAAAAAATCTAAAAACAAATATGTTATGAATAAAAATAAATTAAACAAGATTTGCACGAGCACAACATCCAATTTCCTTACCAAATTTGAAATAAAAATAAAATAAGGAGAAAAAATACTAATAATAAAAATAAAAATAAAAAATAAAAAAATTACTAAATGCGCGACCACTTTTACGACAGGGGTCTAACTCGTTCCGGTTTTGATTTTTTATTTTTGTTTTGTTCTTTTTTTTTTGTCTGCGAGTATGCAGCGATACGTAAGTTCGACCCGGTTCATACGTGAGACCCGGTTACAGTTTGGTATTTGGACTGGGTACGTTTGAACGAAGGACCAACGAGATAAGGCTGGGACCTGTTTTTGGTTTTTTGTTTTCAAGTAGTRATTGAAGTCTAGGAATTTCCTACGTAGTTCGTTTGTCGTTTTGTGAGTTTACCTGAAACTAAGTGACTGGCCTTGCGCTAGCACGTAGCGAGTAGGGAACTATATCAACATAGACCGAGTGTGTACCTTTCCTTTTCGGGTCCGTCGTTGGACTAACTCCGTCTATGGGTGGAGGAAGGAAGACGATGGTGGTGAGTGGAAGAAGGGTGCGAAGTTTAGGGAGAAGAAGGGTTGAAGCCCCCTGAGGACGACCGCGTGGCGGCGGTCGAAACCGGTCGGGGTAGCCTTACCTACCGGGACGGAACCTTGTTTTATGTTGATATTGCACTTTTTTCGATGTACTCGACTGCACTGTGTGCAATGTGTACTCATGCGTGACATCATTGTCTCCATACAAACTTACATCAAACCTACTGAAGGCGCATGTGAACGTGCTTGGAAACGAGATGTCCGAGCTTGTGTGAGCATGTTTTGTTAAATTACGCAATTTCAATTTCAATTACGCATAAGATATCGTGATCTGTGCTACGAACTGCTCTACGAGGATGCGAGAAAAGCTTCCTCGCTCTAAGTGATACAAAGACGGGTTGGACATCGTACGTTAAGGTGCGATGGCGAACCGACATCCGTGGGAGGCGTCCCGTGATGGTGAACGGGAGCGACGGGACAATCGACCAGAGGTGTTGCGCGATGAACGGCGCGAAAGGTACCGCAGTGGCGGACGCGATTACTACCAAGATGATCGACGGGAGACAGCGCGCGAGCGGGGTTATACATTTGGCGAGCACCATAGACGAGCTCGTCCAACTTGCTTCGAATGCGGACAAGTGGGACACTACCGTAACCAGTGTTGGAAGTTGACTGGGGAGGGAAGCTCGAGACAGTTCGAGCATAGGAGCGTGCATTTGATTGATAGCCGCGAACAGTCACCGGAGCGGTTGAAGCTTAAGAAGCAAATCGAGGAACTAGGCACGTCACTTGCATCGAAACCGAGAACCAAAAGAAAATTGAGAAGGAGAAACGCAAACAGGAGAAAGTGGAACAAAAGAGACGAGCTAAGGAGGAGGAAGCCGAACAGCAGCGGCAAGCATCTGAGGTCCAGGCTGCGCGAGCCCGAAAAGCTGCAAAGAAAAACGCAAAGGCAAAAGAAGCGGAAGAGTTCAAAATACAACTGAGGAAAGAGATGCGGATGGAGGCTGCTACAGTCGCCGTGGAACTGCGCGACCGTCTTACCTGAGATCTACGAGATCATTTGACTGAGGAAATACGGCGAGCAATGATGGCGGTGTTGCCCGATTGCAAGGGTAAAAAGAAGATGAACTCGCCATCTGCATCCAGCGAGTCTGAACCTGGTACAAAAGAGGAGGGTGACAACAACATCGCTCTTATCCGGCGTACACGCAGGACTGTGGCGAACGAGAAGCGGAAGAGGAGCGCCGAGGAAACCGTGGGGAGCAGCCCACCAGTGATGCAACCTGCAAAAACGCCACGAGCGACGAACGTGCGGCCGGTACGTCTTGCCACAAAACTACAGACTACGACGAAGAAGACGATGAAGAAGAAGACTCCGACACGGTTTACTCCGCGGAGGGGAACCCCACGTACCAAGATTGCCGCGCAATGCGGGCCGGTGGGTCGAGCGAAGTACGTAGTGGAGAATATGCGAGTTCTATCAGAGTGTGGGGCTGACGAACTTAAGGAAATATGTAAGAAGGAGGAGGTGGAATACGGCAACAAAACCATTGCCGCCATGAACATCGACCAAAAACGGGCGGAGGAAGCCTATGGGAGCTACGAGGAAGGCGAGGCGAATACCGACAATGACGACGAGGAAGTCGTGCAGAATAACACCGAAGTGACAACAGACGAGGAGGAAGACGCATGAAATTTTAACAACCACGAACGACTGTGGACACTGTGCACGCTGCTAATTGAACATCGCCGAGGTCAGACGTTTGATAGCAAGGTGGAGAAACTCTATCGGTTAGTTGTAATGTTGTTGACGTTCGGAGGACAGATACGATGGTTGGTCAAGTGCATTGACTCGTGGGTACGCGCCTATGTTAGATTTGGTATTAAGTTTGTTGACGCTGCTAATGTTGTCTACGTGCTCGCCTCACCATTGTGTAGGGCACAATACGTAGGACAGACTACGAGGGATATTAACTTGAGATGGCGCGAGCACACGTCTCGGTGCGATCCACAGAGTAAATGCACTCATCTCTATCGTTGGTGGCAGGCATTTGGACACGAATCGTATGTCCTGCTACCCATCGAAGCCTGTTCAGAAGGGGAACTACTTGCGTTCGAGCAATTGTACATTCACTGATGGAGTCCGTCACTTAATACTGCGGGCGTTCGGAGAAAACGGACACGTCGTAACAAGCAGCGACAAGGGAAGCGAGAAAGATGACGAAACGAGCGGTTTGCTGTCAAAGAGCACAATGGTAGTGCCATGGTGTCGGTCAAGATGCGGATCGAGGGTCACACGGAAGAGCGGACGGACGTGTTTAGTACGCTAGCCGATTTGGAGAAGCGAGGAATTAGGAAAGGAATTAGGAAGTTTACGTTGACTTCCGCTGGGGGGAACGCTTGGGTGGAGGGATGGAAGAAGATCACCAAGGCGTTCGGATCAACATCTGTATCATACAAAGGTGAGGCATTAAGGTTGTCTAAGTGCAAGAAGATGTTAGAGGATGGCGGGATGATACAGATCAAGCATCTACGACGGTGGCATCCGAAGTGCAACCAAACAAAAAGCACGCTGGTCAACTTACTTCGTATTCCAAACTTGACTGGTGAATTGAAGCAGAGGGAGGTTTCTAAACTGTTCGTACTGTATCGGGGCGCAAAGGGTTTTCAGAAGAAGTCAACGAGATCCTACTTACGTAGGATTATCTCGAGGGTCATCAAAGACACATCTGGATGGAGGATGGGAGCTAACATCAACGTGAAGTTGCGATTTGACGCAGGATTAAGCTGTGTGAGGTGCACAAGGTAACTAAAGATAAGATTGGTGAACTTGGATTGCCACTGTGTATGAGGAATTGGGCACGTAGTAAGACTAAGATCGTGTGGACTAGCAATCCATCGGTCTCCGCCTTACTACACAATCAGTGGATTTTTGCGAAAGCGGACGTCTGCTCCTGCTGTTGTGCAGGACTACCCTATCCACGGATAGGAGAACATGTGCGGTTCCGATTGCATGAGCTATCGGACATTCACCCTATGTTATGTAATGCGAAGAACGTTCTGCGATCCTCACATCCGGATCGCGCAACTTTGCTTCGACGAGAGATTGAGGAAGCTTTTGACCGTTGGCCAAATCGAGGTGAGAAGCAGATCAGGGTAGCAGTTGATGAGATCAGGCGGTGCATGATCCCTACAGGGAATTCGGAGGGAAAGAGTCTCGATCTAAGTAATGTCTACGAGTTGAAGAAGTGACTAGAGGGATTGGTGTGTACTCCGCTAGATAGGAATACGGGGGAGACTCTGGTACTTTGCCCTTTTTTGTACCATGAGGCAATGATGTCCACGTTCATGTGCAACACGGGCTATCGCATCGTCAAGACCGAGGAGAGGTGCGTTCTCGAGGAGATGAAGTCGGATTTGACTAACCAAGGTCTGAAGCAGTGTGTGAAGATTGACATGAAGGGCACGTTTGGCTGCGCATACGTCCAGCCCAAGCACAAAGACCTGGATCGATACAGACCGATCTGTCCGTCTTATTGCGAGCCGACTGTCAAATTCTCGCGTTGCGAGGCAAAGGCGCTCAATCACTTACTGTTCGCACTACCTGCGAGCTGGCATTTCAACCTGCAGGACGTATCAGGGTTGGTGCCACGTATCAAGAAGCTTAATCAGAAGTTACTGCATGTACCAGGTGCGAATTTGCACATATCCACGATGTCTTATGACATCAAGGATATGTTCAGCAAATTGCCGCACGAGGACATCATGCAGGCAGCGCATTGGATCATCAACCACTTCATCGGGAAAGGGAAAACTACAGTAAGGGTTAACCCGAGGGGGCGTGGCAACAGTTTTGGAAGAACTACGGGAGCGGATCACTGGAGAGCAATCGACTTGGAGGATTTGAGGCGTTTCGTGGAATTTGATCTACGTCACACTTACATCAAGGCCACGAGTGTGACGCTGAGACAGGTGGTCGGCATCCCCATGGGGAAGAGCACAAGTCCACCGCTTGCGTGCATTATGTGCGTGCATGTTGAGTACAAGTTCCTCCGGGAACAGCGCAACGCCAGTTGTAAGATCTTCGGCATTCGACTAGTAGATGACGTGAGCCTCGTTATCGCTGGCAGACGCAACACCAATGCGAGGGTGGAACAGATTCTGAAAAGTTTCGAGTCATGCTATCCTAGCAATTTGACACTTAAACGTACAGACGATGGCGGTGGTTGCTGGGAGTTTTTGGGAGTCGAGATGCGAACGCAGAATGTGTTTCCGTATATGGGATGTATTCAAATGTCGAAGAACGAGAAGACTGTATGGACAGAGGAACGGTTGGAATTCAAGATCAGACAGGGGCATTTTTCGTGGGGGAGTAAGGCGCAGAAAAGCGCGGTCATCGCAAGTCGTTTGCACCGAATCGATCGAAATATGACTGTGCGATGTGAATTGCCGGACAAGGTGCTGACACTCAGCCGTGAACTGAGGTTGATGGACGTGCCATCGGAGTTCTTTCTTCGGGTGTTGAAGCGATTTGCAACCGGCAGAGGACCCACTTGGGGATACATCTCCTCATGGTTAGCTGAGTAAGCTGAGCAAGTCTGCGATCGTGGTGCAGTCCACGGATGACGTCTCGCGTGTGTAGTATAGTTAGTTTGATGTATGAATGCTAGGAGTTAACAAGTGTGATCTGCTCGGTAGGTGTGGATCTTTGATGGCGAGGTACAGTGTACTTTGCAATCTGTGTCTGACTGTGTTCTATAAGAGTTTGTGTGATTGATTTGTAGAGGCAAGTTTGTGTAATCTGTGGGAATTTTGTATCGCTTTTACATCAGTCTGTATGATTTTTTCGTATGAGTAGGCGTGGCGACATGGTTTTTGATTTCTGCTGAGGGGTACATAGCGACAGCGACTTGACATTTTTCTATCTGTAAGAATATAGTGACAGGGGTGTGACACGTTCCGGTTTTGATTTTTTATTTTTGTTTTGTTCTTGTTTTGCTTTGTCTGCGAGTATGCAGCGATACGTAAGTTCGACCCGGTTCATACGTGAGACCCGGTTACAATTTGGTATTTGGACTGGGTACATTTAAACGAAGGACCAACGGGATAAGGCTGGGACCTGTTTTTGGTTTTTTGTTTTCAAGTAGTGATTGAAGTCTAGGAATTTCCTACGTAGTTCGTTTGTCGTTTTGTGAGTTTACCTGAAACTAAGTGACTGGCCTTGCGCTAGCACGTAGCGAGTAG